AGACAGCCGAATGGAGGTCGGCGATCAGAGCTCCGCCAGCAACCAAGTGGGAAGGGGGGGGTTCACCCAGAGCTCAGGAAGTGAATGAAGGCATAGAATTGCCTGTCCTGCTGGTATCCTTGACCCCATCACGCCCAGAAGCAGAGTGGCAGAGCCCAAGCAGGCGGGTGCAGGAACAGGGTGGATTTCATAGCTCAGACCCCCATGAGTGCCACATCAGGCACCATTCTGTGTATGCAGGAAAAGGCTGTGGGGGCTGGAGGAACAACACGAGCTCTGCTTGCACTAAACCAGGAGCAAGCCCGTCTCTGTCTCAACACACTGCATTGATCCTACACAGAAAACAGTAGTGACTTGGCATCCTCCAGGTCCAGATGGCCCACAGACCTAACCGCCAACTGGCTAAGACCCCCACCAGTGCCACAACGGGAGCTATTCTGTGTACGGAGGGAAAGGCTGTGGGGCTGAAGAACAACAGCAAACAGTACATGCACTGAGCTAAGAGAACGACTTCTGTCTCAGCGCATTGCACTGGTCTCACCGAGAAAACAGATCCAACCTGGCATCCTACAGGTTCCATCCAAAATAGGTCCAGGTAGCCCTCAGACCTAACAGCCAGCAGGTTCCAGCAAGACCAGTACTGCTGATAACCCAGTGATTTATAACAGATGGTGTCTCCATAATCCCAGGCACTGCTCAGGCTGGGAGTGGGAAAAAGGCTGTGCAGGCAACAGAGCAGTCACAGCATAGGATCCCAGGGGATGGAGAGTAGTGAGCCAGGGGCTGGAGCTACGAAGACTGTGGGGGGAGCCTAGCACAAGAGCCCAGGACTGAAACGCGCTGGAGGGCGTGTGGCACAAGTGACTGCGAAGGAAGAACTGGATAACAAATGCAATCAGTAAAATCGACCTATAGACCAGTGGGCAACACAGCTTAGAAACCGGCCCTAAGGAGAGGAATCTGTTAACCAGAATAGCAATGACCAAGAGCAACGGAAGAGACAGAAGCACAAGGAATAGCACTGATGCTTCCCCTGTGAAGGAAAAAAGCCTTTGTCTGCCTCAGAATTATCTGTGGAAGACATCGAGGAAATCGGGTGTAAAGAACTTCAAAAACATGTTATAAAGCTTAACAACAGTAAGAAGTACATATAAGAGACCAAAAAATTTAACAAATATGTTATACAGGAAATAACAGCAATGAATCAAATGAAAGCTGACATATTAGAAATGAAGAACACAACAGAACAAATTAAAAATTTAGTGGAAAGCCTCAATAATACAATGAGCAAGTTGGAAGAAAGAAATCTCAGGATTGGAAAAGATATCTTGACACAATGGGAAAAACCAATCAAAAAGCTGCAAATGGAACTGAGTCAAGTCTAAGAGACAATATTAAGGTGCAGAAAGATAAGCTTGGTTTAAAAACGTATTCAGTGAAAAAATAAATGAGACCTTCCCCCAGTATGGAGAAAGAATTAGACAATAAAATACAGGAGGGGCACAGAACTCCCAATAGGGTTGACCTAAAGCAATCCTTGCCACAACACATGATCATCAAGCTCTCTTTGGCAGAGCATAAGGAAACAATCCTCAAGTATGCAAATGAAAAGAATCAATTAACATACAGAAGAAACACAATAGACTCAGAGCTGACTTTAGAGGAAACTCTACAGCCCAGAAGAGCAACATATTCCAGACTCTAAAAGGGAAAATTTTCAGCCCAGAATAACCTACTCAGCAAAGCTTCCCTTTGTCTTTGAAAATGAAATAAAATTCTTTCACAGTAAAGAAAAGCTCAAAAGATTTGCCTCTTCCAGACCTGCCCTACAAATGATACTTAAAGATGTTCTCTTGACAGAGAAGAAATAGCACACACCAACAACCAAAGGCAAACATGGAAAATATCCCAATAAGCAACAATAAAAAGACTAAATCAAACAATGAACAAACCATTGCCAAAATGACAGGACCGAATCACTCCCTGCCAATATTAGCCCTGAATGTAAATGGCTTTAATTCATCAATAGATCTATAGCAAGGACTGAGATTGAATCAGCAATTAAATCCTTCCCAACCAAGTACAATCCTGAAACAGATGGCTTTAATGCTGAATTCTACCGATCGTTTCAACAGGAACTTGCCCCAATCCTACAAAAGCTTTTCCAAACAATAAAAAGAGAGGCAATCCTTCCAAACTCTTTCTATGAAGTAATATCACCTTAATATAAAAATCAGATAGAGAAACAAAGAGAACTACAGACCAATATCCCTGATGAACATAGACACAAACATCCTCAACAAAATAATAGCCAGCAGAATCCAACAACACATCAGACATATCATTCACCCAAAGTAGGATTTATCCCTAGAATACAGGGATGGTTTAACATTCAAAAATCAAATAAGTGTGATACACTCCACCAACAAACTGAAAAATAAAAAACGATGTGAACATCTCAATAGATGTAGAAAATGCATTTGATAAAAGTCAACACCACTTCATACTAAAAAAAAAAAAACAAGATAGAAATAGAAGGAATATTCTAAAACACAATCAAAGCAACATACAAAACAAAGCCAAAGCCAGCATCATACTAAACGGGGAAACACTGGAAGCTTTTCCACTAGGATCTGGAACTGGACAGGGATGTCGATCTCACCACTGTTATTCAATATAGCATCGGAAGTCCCTGTCAGAGCTACTGGGCCAAAACAAAACAAAAAGAAATTAAAGGAACCCAAATCAGAAATGAGGAACCAAAAGATTCAATCAAGAGACTGCTGGAACTCATAAGAGAATTTGGCAGGGTAGCAGGCTACAAAATTAATGTAAATAAATCAATGGCACGAGTGTACGCCATCGGAGCAGTGAACAGCATATCCAAATGTACATGCCCAGACACCCCAACATGGGACAGGAGCATCCTAACAGGGGTCGACCTCTAGGCTAAACACACCCCCCCCAAAACAAGCCATTGTAATTTCATTTTACCATGAGCTTCCTTGAAGTATTCTTGCATTAAAAAAAAAAAAAAACCCTGTAGACCAGTATCTCTCATTAACACAGAAGTAAAAATCCTCAACAAAATGCCAACAAATCAAATCCAATGACAACCTTTCTAAAAAAGAATCACATACCAAATTTATACCAGTAATCACCATTAGTTCAATATTTTTAAATCACATCAACCAAATAAGGAAAAAAAAAACATGCTTAGCTCAAAAGATGCAGAAAGAGCACTTTTGGATGCTTTTTAAGGGTTTATTTATTTATTTAAACAAAGAAAGAAAGAGAGGGAGAAACATAGATTTTTCTTCTAGTGGCTCACACCCTAAACGGCTACAACATGCAAACCCAGGAACCTGGAACTCCACCCAGACCTCCTCACAGGTAGCAGAGACCTGCAGGTCGTCAAACACTGTCTCCCAAGTGCATCAGCCACAAGCTGGCCTGGAAACAAAGTATCCAAGACTCAAACCAGGGATTCCACTATGTGACCGATGGTGAGAGGATGCTAAAAAGACGGCTGGCCACAACAGTCCAAGCAGGAGTGGGCCAAGGAGACCCAACAGAGGGCTTCCAGGGCAGTGGGGACACCCCGAGTGACACCACAACACTGGATCCACATCACTAAACACTTAGCCAAACCCATGGCACATCCACACCAAGGGGCCTCTGAACTCCAGGCTCACTCCCCACCCTGGCCCATGCAGGAAGCTGCACATGTACGTGGAAAAGAACCTAGAAACCCAACCTCTTCCACAAAACCCTGGCACTGGCTGCTCAGTTTTGCCAGGGGCCTAAAATGTTCTCCAAAAATACAATCAACAACAACAACAACAACAAAACAAATAAATCCAGCTAATTTGCTCTCACCCTCCCAGGCACCCTCTAGAGGCTGAGGCCTCCCTCCAGCGCCAGCAACCTGCCCATTCCCCCCCCACACACACACACACACAGCCTCCACAGGAAGCAGCCATGGCACCGGGTCCCTCCCACAGGGACCCAGCCAGAGGTGTGTCTTGTGTCCCCGCCTTGCCTGCTCGGGACGCGCCCAGAGGTTGGGGCGAGGCAAGAGCCAAGGACAAAGTGAAAAGGAAAAAGGCAGGAAAAAGCTCAGCCAGCTAAGGAAAAGTCCCCTGGGCTACCCTCCAGCTCCTTCCTCTACGTTCCAATTTGGAAAGTAGCAAGATTTGAGGGTTTTTTTTTTTCACTAAGAATCAAAATTTACTAAGAAATGTCGATGTCTTTTTGTTTTTAAGAGAACTGCAAAGTCCTCTCAGGAATATTAATTGCAGTGAAAACAATTTTGACTTTGTCATCAGGCACTGGGCAGAAGCCCGTGGGCAAACACCCCAGAGAGCATCACTGATGGTGGCCTGCTCCCAGCCACAGCCCCCCGAAAACACACGCCCTCCACAGGGGCTCCGGCAGCTCCAAGGAAGACGACACAGCTTCAGCCCATTCGCCACCTCCCTAGCCGGGTCTCTTCACCACCAGGCTTAACCCCTACTGTAACAGAAAGGAAATGCTAACCACAACAGGATTAGGACCAGACCCGATTCTAGTTCTGCAGCTTGTGGAAGCGTGGAGACGATGATGACCCACCAAAGTGTAGGCATAGCCACCAGACGGAGCCTTTAGCAAAACCAGACAACAGAAATACAGAGAGCTAGGAAGCAACAGGCACCTCACACAGATAAATCAAACAAATGCATGCTTGCAGTCTGCCTTTCCTTTCCACAACACTCGGAACACAATAGAGTCCCAAAAAGACGAACGCAGAAGCACCCGGTCCTAACACGACTTCCACCTAGGCGGATGAAACCGGCAGACAGAAGCATTCCCTGCAGATACTCCGTGACATGCCTGCAGGACAGGCAGCAGGTCCACAGTGAGCAGGGGTGTCCCAAACGCCTCAAGGCCACCACAGCGGCTCCCCAGGGTCCACCCCCAAGGCACCCACGGTCAGACTGTAATGCCAGGGTTTTACTTACCCCCAATATTGGCAATGGACTCTGGCCCAATAAGCTGGTTTTCAAAGAGCCTCTCTGCCTGTCGCAACTTCGTATTTGGTTGCAGAACACCAAGAAAGAAAGGGGGTTCTTTGTAGCTGTAAAATAATGCAGTTACAGGGATTTGTCTGTAAGATATGCGTGAAGGTCAATTGCATGCATAACTTGTGCTCTATAGTAAAGAGGGCACAGCCTAGTAACAGCTGGTTAGGGGGCAAACGGTTCCAGCAGATCAGAAAAGGTCATGGTACAAATAGTGCCAGTGTCCAGTGCTCACCTGCGCCCAGGGGCCCCCTCCAAGCTGCCCCAAGCCCGCCCTCACTGCCCAGTACCTAGGGCAGCCTGACTTCCTTCCTAAATCCCCCCATCTTACACACAGCCTTCAATGCCCACCTGGGACGGAGGTGAACCGGGCAGCCCTGCTTCCCACTTCACAGGGAAGATGGAGCAAGAGAAGACCGTCCTGGGGCTGGAGCCCACGCCGAGACCCAGCACACTCTGCTGGCACGCTCAGGGCCCTCCGGGCCCACCCTGGAGCAGCCTGCATGTGGCCTGGACCCTATGCTCACTCACATAGGTCTCTAGTCACTCTTCCCCACCTCTCTCATCCCTCCCATGCCCAAGCAAATGTGCCCACCAGCAAATCTTGCTGAAGCCACTTTGAAAAGACACACAGGGGTCCCAGCATAGTAGCCTAGCAGCTAAAGTCCTCATCTTGCACACCAGGATCCCATATGGGCATCGGTTCTAATCCCGGCGGCTCTACTTCCTTTCTAGCCAGCTCCCTGCTTGTGGCCTGGGAAAGCAGTCAAGGACGGCCCAAAGCCTTGGGACCCTGCACCCACGAGGGAGATTCAGAAGAGGCTCCAGGCTCCTAGTTCGGATGGGCACAGCTCCAGCTGTTGCATAGTGAATCAAGGGATGAAAGATCTTCCTCTATCTCTCTTCCTCTCTGCATATCTGACTTTGCAATAAAAAAAAAAAGACACGTGTGACAGAGCACACATGTCCTCTGCTGCCACACTGACCTGACTCCCACCTTCTCTCGCCTGCTTCTTCTCTTGTCTCAACAGGCTGTTCTCACCCTGAAGCCAGGTCAGGTGCCAGTACTGGCCTGTCCATGCCTATAACTGCCCCTCTTAGTAGGGCCACGATTCCTGGACCTAGTCCAGGCTGCCCAGTGGCAGAGCACTGGCTGGCTGGCAGTCCTGCCGTGGATCCCACTGGGTGTGGCACAGCAGCAGCAGTACCAAGGGACAGTCTGTCTGCCTGTCTCTCTCCCACCCCACCTTCCTTTGGTCACCGGCAGTGCAGACCTCACTGCTGGTCCCTTGTGCTCCGGCTTCTGGCTCAGCCTCCGTGCTTTCTCCATGCTGCTCCTGGTTCCTGTCTCATCAGGCTCACCCACTTCAAGGGCAGGACTCACCAGACACAGCTTCAAGTCCTCACGGCCATGTCTGCTCTCAGCCTCCAGCCAAGGCCACATACCTATCCGTTCTTGTCCAGTGCAAAACTTATGTCTTCTCCACTCTCCGGCCCCTCTTCCCAGGCCACCCCGACTCCCGTCTGTTCCTCACCGGGGATGCTGTTTACTCACACTTCCTGAAGGCCCAAGTCAGATTCTGTTTGGAATGACAGCCCATCCCTCCACCCCAACCAGGCCACCTGCAGGCTGAGCTCACACAGGCTTTCCTCATAGGTCATCCTTCAGGGACCCTGACCCATCAGCAACTCCGGAGTCAGCACTCGGGCACCAGCCCCAGGCCTTGCCTCGCTCTCAATCGCATATGAGCTCATCATGCTCTTACAGCGCTCTGTGCCTCTCCAAATTCTAAATCCAACAACGGAAAGTCACACACTTGTCGAGCTGAGGTCAGATCGCGCCCTCAGTATCTCTGAGGCTAGCTGGCCCAGTAAGCTGGATCCCAGCATTCCAGGAGCTGTATGCATTCATTTTTTTTTTTTAAGATTTATTTTATTTTTATTGGAAAGGCGGATATACAGAGAGGAGAGACAGAGAGGAAGATCTTCTGTCCGATGGTTTACTCCCCAGGCGGCTGCAACGGCTGGAGCTGAGCCAATCCGAAGCCAGGAGCCTCTTCCGGGTCTCCCACGGGGGGGTGCAGGGTCCCAAAGCTTTGGCCGTCCTCGACTGCTTTCCCAGGCCACAGGCAGGGAGCTGGATGGGAAGTGGAGCTGCCGGGATTAGAACTGGCGCCCATATGGGATCCCGGGCATTCAAGGCAAGGACCTTAACCACTGCGCGTCCGAGCTGTATACATTCTTAACTAATGGAATAGCTTCTAATTAATTCATTAATTAGCCTGCTTCTGGTTCCAGTTGGAGGCAGCAGTGATAGCTGACATCACTAAGTCTTGGCCACCCTCCAGGGAGACCCACACCTGGGTGCTTGGCTTCCGGCTTTGCTGTGGCCCAGCCTTAGCCTGGTGCAGGCATTTGTAAAGTGAACCAGCAAATGGAAGATCTTTCCCTGCCTCTGTCTACCCTTTCAAATAAACAAAATATAAAAACTCGGGAACTGAAGAAACCCCAGGTCAGGTATCTGGTGTCACTGCTAAGTCATACATTCAAGTGCCTGGGTTCAGTCCCAGCTCTGCCCTCGAGTCCAGCTTCCTGCTAACGCGCACCCTGCCCAGAGCAGGTGACAGCTCATGTAGCGGGGCCTGTCACCCACGGGGGAGACTGGGACTGAGTTTCTGAGCATTGGCTTCAGCCAGGTCCAGCCCGACTGCGGCAGACAGTTGTGGAGGCCACCAGTGGATGGGTGATCTGCTTCTCTCTCTGTTTTCCAAATAAAAACTTTTTCATGAATTTTTTAAGATAAAACAAATCACAAAGCTCCACTTGATTTAACTTACCTCTTGGATCAGATATAATCTCCTCCCCACCCCCCCAGCTCTCCTCCTTAGATTTCACCGGCAGCTCACCTGAGAGGCTGCGGCTCTATGGGAGACTCCAACAGCATCATGGCACCAAGCAGGGGCACGGTGAGCGAAGCCGCCAGCATGAGGAAGGTCACTCGGAAGACTCTGCCGCTGAAGGAGCTGCCGGAGGGAAAGGGCATGAGAGCAGTGAGCGAGGCCGTGTGGCGTGACGCACGGTGGGTCTGAGAGCACTGCCACCACGCAGGCACACGGGGCTTCCCAGCTGCAGGTCGCCGAGCTGCTGGGAGCAAACCTCAGCACGGTGTGCCAGGATCCACAGCCACGCCTTCTTTCTCTTCTTACAAAAGGAGCTTCCAGCGTGCAGGATGCCGTCACCAACCACTCCCCCCATCTCGGGTCCTCCAGTGGAGTTCTACGAGGCCAATTTGCACAGGAAGCAGGAAAGAGCTCCAATGGCGTACTGACCTGTCCTTGCCTACCGGGAAGCCGCAGCTCCCCAGGCCTGGACTCCAACAGAGCTCTCAGCACGGCGTGCTCTGTGGAGTGTCAGGGCGGAGACAGGGAAACATCCATGAAGCAAACAGAGGCAGAGGAACTCTCTCGGCCTCCAACTCCACCATCCTAACACTCCAGCTCCTCTCCCTGCTAACGGGCTGGGAGACATGGACAGCTGTTCACACACAGTCCCTCGCTCTGCAACTGCAAGTCACCAGCCTACAGCAGAGGGACCCAGCAGGGCAGGCTTGGACCTCTGGGCTGAAGCGTGGGCACAGGCGACCAGCGGTGACTGACACAATGCTCACACGTGTTCGTTCTCAGCTGCTGAACAAGGGAGTTGGCCTTCCGCCACTAAGCAAACCTCTTAGCAGCATTGGCGACTGGCAGAGACCACACTCACTCAGATTGCCTACAAATGTCAACACATGTAGAGCTCATCACAGACCAAAATCAGGAGCTCCCAAGGAAAAAAACTTTCTAATCAAAAGTAAAATCAACTAGAAGTGCTGACCCACGCTTCACAGAACAGACTCACTTTAAGTCCAGGCGTGCCGTGCCCGTGCGCTTCACAGACTCTGTTCCAGGTTCAGGGTAACTCAGGTGCCAGCCCCAATTTCCCAACATCCAGTTTGGCAACTGACACCCAGGGCTCCCCACTGTGTGACGGCAGATAGGGCAGGGGAAACTGAACACGCCTCGCAAGGTAAAGCAAATCCCTCCACCTACACTGGAAATGAAGGATGGGGAGGAGGCAGAGGCTTTCACAAAGGGCACCCTGGCAGGCATTCTGGATGGTACAGAGAGAGCACAGAGTCCTGCCAGCGCCCTGAGAGGGCAGGAAACAGCATCTCCCGGACCCTCCAGAACGCAGTACAGTCCTCTGCCACCGACAACTCAACCCGAGTCTGGCTGACCTCTGTAGAGACAAAGACGGTAGGAATCCCAGCTGCATGTTCGCTCTCCACATGCCTGTAGCCAGGGACTCCATCCAAGTCTCCCACGTGGGTAACAGGGACCCAAACCACCTGAGCCATCACCTCCTGGTCCCTCGGCAGGAAGCCAACCTCAGGAACACAGCCAGGCCTCACGTCCAGGCACCCAACATGGGGTGCAGGTAACTCAGCCAGCTACTCAACCTCTACGGGAACACAGCCAGGTCTCACGTCCAGGCACCCAACATGGGGTGCAGGTGTCTCAGCCAGCAACTTAACAACCACAACAAGCACCCATCCCCATGCCCCAAAACTGTAAAATGGTAACTGTGCTATGGATGCCACTAGGGCAGGCACAGAACACAAATGTGATTTCCTATTTAAACTAATTTCCACCTTCTGGGAAGAGGGATTTCTATTAAAAAAAAAAAAAAAAAAAACCAAGAATGTAGAAGCAGCTTTGGGATCAGACTGCAAGTGCAGGATGAAGAATTCTGAGGAGCTGGATAGAAAAACCCCAGATTTTCTCCAGCAAAACTGTTAGAAATATGGATGCTAAAGACTGCTCAGGAAGAGGTGAGAAGCACTGAAGAAAACCCAACTACATCTTGGAGAAGATCTAACCCACCTACGCTATGAAAGGTGCAGGCATTCAAGTGCTGCTGGGGAAGGCTCAGATGCCAACAGCCGGTTATAAGAACCTGCTGTTCAGTGAGGTCCTCATTAACACAGTGCAGAAAGATTGGCTCAGACCCGTCCTGTGGTTACCTGGAAAGCAGAGCTCTGGACAGGCAGCTGCGGGCATCTCCAACCACAGCGTTCAAGGTGGACACGGCCTTCTCCTGCACAGAGCCGGCAAGCACCTCGCTTTTCCACTCACGGTGCTCCTTTGCCAAAACCTGACATTTTCCGACTTCCTTCTCATCACTCACACGGAGCCTGGAGGCTCATCCAGGCTAGGTGAGACGCCAACTCGTCTGTCTGTGCTCCTTGGTTAGGCAGGAAAGGAAGCGTGGCAGGACTCACACACCCCAGCCAGACACTGCAAACCAACTGGGGCAAGGACGAGGGAACGCAAGCTCCCAGAGGGGAAAGTCACGTGAACTCTTCCCCCTACAAAACCTGTCCATAAAAACCCATCCTATGACACACGGGCTCAAGGCCGTCAAGGAGGGGCACGCACAGGCCTCCAGGCAGCAGTCATCTGTGAGCCAACACGAGCAGGTGACACAACTGGACAGGTCTGTGACTGGCACAGGCAGAAGGACAGGAGAAGACCAAAAACAACAGTATGCGAGCAAAGTGGCCAGTGAAGGACTCGGCTGCAAAAGCTTAACAGAGAGCCAGATCCAATTCTCAGCCTGTGGTCACCATGAGCCAACAGCAAAACTGCCTGCCAAGACCAGAGGATGCCCTGAGTCAGGGTTGGAAACTCAGCAGAAGGCCATGGTGATTTGTCTGTTCTGAGTATTTGCTACAAAACGAATCCCATGACCTGTGACTTTGTGTGGACGGCTCCTCTACCTCAAAGTCTCCAGGTTCACCCAAGGCAGCGAATGTACCCACACATGGTTCCTTCACTGCTGAAGAGCATCCCATTTCTTATGTATGCTACAGTGATTCCTCACCTGTTCATGGACAGATGGATGGGAGGGAGAGGGGCGAGATGAGCACTTAACTGGCACCGGCTGATGAAAAGGTGCTAGCCAGTGGACTGCCCAACGCCATGCATGCACTACCAAGGAACACTTTAAACTGGCTCACTGTAGAAGGTGAATTCCACTTAACTTAAAAGGATAAAGGTTTAATGATAAAAATGTTTTAAACTTAGATTGCCATTGTTGCAACTGATTACATTTTTTTAAAAGTGGCTGAGAGGTTTTTAGATGGGTGAGTTTTATGATATGTAAATTACAATAACAGCCTCTTTTCAAAAGCAGCCTCTCTTTAACACAGGGATCTTCTTTGAGGTGGCTCAAGTCTTTCGACTCCAGGGAAAGAACAAGGCATCCATCCAATGACACACAAGTGGCAGAAACACTTCAACAACGTGGTTCCTTTAAAACCAGAATCTAAGGAACCTGGCGTGATAGAGTAGTGGTTAAGGTCTTCGCCTAGCATGTGCAGGGATCCCATATGGGCGCCAGTTCTAATCCCGGCGGCCCTGCTTCCCATCCAGCTCCCTGCTTGTGGCCTGGGAAAGTAGTCAAGGACAGCCCAAAGCTTTGGGACCCTGTTTCCATGTGGGAGACCTGGAAGAAGCTCCTGGCTTCGGACTGGCTCAGCTCCAGCTGTTGCGGCTGCTTGGGGAGTGAATCATCAGTTGGAAGATCTTCCTCTCTGTCTCTCCTCCTCTCTGTATATCTGACTTTGTAATAAAAAAAAATTTTTTTAATCCTTAAAAAAAAAAAAAAAAAACAGAATTCCAGAGAAAGACGGTGAAAGGGAGGCAGTGAGGAGATGTGGCTGTCAGCTGATGGTCCACTGCACAGGTGCTGGGCTGCAGCCTCCAGCCCCCTAAAGATGATGCAATCAGAAGTCGGCCAGGTGGGGGAGCACTGTGAAACGGGCCATTTTCCATGCCTGAGTATTCTCACCGCCTCCAACTCCGACAGTGTTAGCCACACTGCAATTGCAGGTTTCCTTTCGGCAAAGCTCAGTCACTAATCGATTCAGCGCTCATGAAACCTCCCCCAGGTCTCTGGTCCTGGCTTGCCACCAAGTTCAAAAGCTCACTTTGTCCAAAACAAAAACCTCCAGCAGCTAGGCCTGAAAGTGACAGCCCTCACAGCTGGGAAGGAGGAACAACCTCCTGAGTTTCACATCGCCCACCCCCGCAGCGGAGCCGGGCCCGCTCAAGACTGCAGCAGAATCTGCGGGCCCGAGTCTGTCACTCCCACAGGCAATGGCCCCGCTTTGCCTACCACAAAATGGCCTGAGAGTGGTGGTCTGGGGGGTCCCGAGCGGGCCTAGGAACCCTTTCATCCTCATGAGCTCTTCCTCATGTCCAACCTTCCTCCAACTCTCTCCCCACCTGCCTCTGGGCCATCGCACAGCCCCTAGGTCACACCACACAACCCCTGGGTCACTGCACAGTCCCTGGGCCATCGCATAGTCTCTGGGCCATCACACAGCCCCTGTGTCACCGCACAATCCGTGTCACTGCACAGCCCCTGTGTCACCGCACAGCCCCTGGGCCATCGCACAGCCCCTGGGTCATCACACAGCCCCTGGGTCACCTCATAGTCCCTGGACCATCACACAGCCCCTGGGCCATCGCACAGCCCCTGGACCATCCCACAGCCCCTAGGTCATCACACAGCCCCTGGGTCATTGCACAGCCCCTGGGCCATCACACAGCCCCTGGGCCATCACACAGCCCCTAGGTCACCGCATAGTCCCTGGACCATCACACAGCCCCTGGGCCATCCCACAGCCCCTGGACCATCACACAGTCCCTGGACCATCACACAGCCCCTGGGCCATCCCACAGCCCCTCTGGGCAGCTCTGTGGTCACATTCACCACAGCTCCCTAAGCAGAGCTGACACACAGAATGCGATGGATAGGAAATAGGGAATACTTGGAACAGAACCAGCCTGGCATAAGTTAAGTGAAGTTCCTAGACCACCAGACCTCTGGTCCTTGCTCTGGAGGCCACACTAACTCTAGGGTTTCAGGCTTTGGGGCAAGCCCTTCTCACTGCTGGGTCCTGCAAACTCAGTCTACACTTTCCCCTGCTTTTCTTCATGTCTGACTCCCTCTGGCTCTGCACCCTGCACTACTGCAACTTAAATAATGGACTCTGCATTTAGCCCTCTCCATTTTCACTGACAAAGCACAGCATGGTCTCATAGGGGCCATCTGAGAAATCAACATGTTTGCATCCATCTCTCAGAAGAGCCTGAGGCAACACTCACCCCCTGGAGGACACCCACCCCTGACACATGCTAAGTCTCTTAGGTCACAGGCAAGGGCACAGGCACGGTGCTGCCACAGGACTCAACAACCACCAACGCCAGCTGCCTCTGAAAGGCATCCTCCCACACTTCCGGCACACACACCAGGCACCAGGGCCTCGAACCACAGGTAGGCATGAGGCAGATTCCAAAGACACCCAAAACTGGGATTTTTGCAGAAAACCTGTTATCACCAAGCTCATGAGACGCCAGCAACCTGAGGTGTCAGGTGAGCCTGGAACATGGGAAAAGTCAAACCCTTCTTTTTAAGTGACTGCATCTTAATTGTTCATTTTGCGTACTCATTAAACAAATGCATCATTTTACCCCTCTAAAAAAATTAGCAAGAAACAAATTAAAGCAGTCAGCTGGAAACACACCTCCAGTGCAGAGTTAAGAATCCCCGAGGATTCCAGATTCCTGGCGCCTCATAGGGCCTCAACCGCCGACTGCCCCATCTGCTTCTCCACTTTGCAATCCTGAAGAGGAACTCAGGAAATGCACCAGGTGGACACTGTCATTTAGTCTGGAATCCCACAAAGATTTTTTTCAAGATTTATCTATTTATTTATTTATTTGTTATTTCTGATGATGTTTACATAGTTGAGCTGGGTGGGAAGGGTCGACGATCAGGAGAAAGTGGGCAAGACCACTGCCTACACATTTTCTTTTGCTTCTTCCTGTCTCTGTGGCGAGGGGGAATACAACGGGAGAAGCCACACCCAGCCTCCCAATCACCCCAGTACCCAGGGATGGGGAAGGCCCACCCCACGTCATCCCAGGGTCCCCGTTGTGGAGCATGTCCTGAGGGTTCTGCTCATGTGGTTTTGACAGTTCTGACATGCTGTTGATCTCACGCTCCTAGGAGGAGGAAATCCTTCTAAGGTCAACTGGTTGACACAGTACACCTCAGTCTCCATTCGTCCAGAAATTTGCTGTCAAGCTTCGCTGGAGTAGTTGATCGATTTGTTCTGCCATCGTTGCTCTGGCTCTGAGCACCTGGCAGGCTGATGAGCCCGAGCCTCTGGACCCGAGCCCACTACCCGAGATGCCGGCCCCTTGGGCTCTGACCCTGTGGCAGGTCAATGGCACCAAGCCTCTCAAAGTTCCTTTTTAAAAGCAGCTATTGAATTCCCAGCATACTCACACGAACACTATTCAGTTCCCTTCCTATACATGATCTCAGCCAAAGGCCCCAGCAGCAAGTCAGAGTTCCTACTGTGACTGTAGGGGGCTGTAACTGCAAGAGGGAAGGGGTGGCTTCAAGACTGCTTTCCACGGCGCTGGCTTCTTAACCACGGCCCAGCTGCTACTTGTATCCCTCTACAGGTGTCTTCCTTTCTGTTGGTTTCATTGCTCTGTAGCCACATGTAAACCACCTCAATCATTCACAGTATAAGAGAGCAATACCAGCCAGCCGCATAGCTATGACGAGGCTGCCCCCACAGCCAGTTCCCATCCAGCTATGCACCCAGGAAAGCAGCAGCAGAGGCCCACCTGGGCCCTGCAACCCGTGTGGGTGACCTGGTAGAAGCGCCTGGCTTCAGCCTGGCCCATCTGAGGAGTGAGCGTGGGTGAAAAGCGCTCTCTCTGTCTCGGCCCCTCTCTATATATAACTCTACCTTTCAAATAAGTAAAATAAATCTTTTTTAAAAATTAGAGTTAATACTGCATTCCAAGCCCAGAGTCAGGGAAAGAGCCAGCCAGTTTTCCTCAGGGTGTCTGTCTCACTGGTAAAATCTATTCCACTTTCACTGAGTTCATTAGTCAGTCTTCTTTTCAGGCCTTCTTTCTTTAGCATATCCACAGTGTACTCTAACAGCCCCTATTTCCACTTCTTTCAAATCTCCCTACTGCGCCCACTATGAACAGGTGTTCTGGGCTTCTGTTGAACTCAGTGAGACGAAGTGCCAGAAGCTAGTATAAAGGGAATGAACAACACAAAGGACTTGCATAAGAAAACCAGCAGTGAGGGATCTGCAAAGGGAGGGGGCGGGTGCTAACAAGAATTGGATTTCAGGCCCAGCAGCATGGCCTAGCAGCTAAAGCCCTCGCCTTGAATGCCCCGGGATCCTATATGGGCACCGATTCTAATCCCAGCAGCTCCACTTCCCATCCAGCTCCCTGCTTGTGGCCAGCCTGGGAAAGCAGTCGAGGACGGCCCAAAGTTTGGGACCCTGCACCCGTGTGGAACACCCAGAAGAAGTTCCTGGATCCTGGCTTCGGATCGGCATAGCATCGGCCATTGCGCTCACTTGGGGAGTGAATCATCGGATGGAAGATCTTCCTCTCTGCCTCTCCTCCTCTCTGTATATCTGACTTTCCAATAAATAAATAAATCTTTAAAAAAAAAAAAAGAATTGGATTTCCAAAAGACCGCCGGCAGATGTGTGGCAAAAGGATCATTAAGGCACAGAAAGGAGACAGAGCAGTGCCCTTGACCACGGAAGTCAAGACAGCTCTTCAATCAACACAAATGTGAGAGGCACAAATAGGAAAGCTCAGGTGGCAGATGAAGACGGTGATTTACCTTGTCAAGCGGAAAGAAATCCCCACGGAGACACAGGGGAAAAAAACAAAACACAAACAACGTCATTAAGTCAGTCCCTCAGCTCTGAGCCAGAACAGCCCTCTGAGAGCTGGACCCTTCACAGGTGCCTGGGGTGCTGCTGTGAGCCCCAACCCGGCAGAAACCAGCTGCTCCAGTGCCTCTCGGGCAGGTGCCTCATTGCCACACTTGTGCAGTACCCGCTGCCAACCACCACCGGCAAAAGCCTATTTCACAACACCCAACTGCTTCCCGCAAGTCACCAGTCTACCCCGTTTTGCCAGTTACAACCCTGAAACTAAGGAAATCCGCAGACAGCATAACAACCCAGAGGGCTGGCCAGCCAGCTGCCAGCTCCGAGGCCCGGACGTCCAGCACCCTCCAACACCCTCCATTAGAGCTCTCCTACAAATCCAGCCAGCGGCAAAAACCGCCCCTCCTCCTTCCACACTGCTCATGACCAACGGCATCTCTCCCGACCCCATTCGTGTGTAAATGGACCCGTGCCACGGCTCTGGCCCTGGTTCTCCCTCAAAATTACAAGCTAGGCAATCCAGGACCCAAAAGTGACAAGGGAACGCTTCAGCACCTCCTGCCTGAAATCTCCTGTGTGCAGAGCTTGCTTCAACCAAGCAGGGTACTACAGCTCCTGGAGTGGACAGGCCCAAGCCCCGACACCTCTCAGACCTCACCTCCACCAAGCACCCCCAGTACCACTTCTGTTTTCTGCTCTCCCGAGAAGCACAGCGAAGGCTGGTCGCGCAGCAGGAAGCACAGGTCAGGGGCATCCCTGCCTGGTTTCCGACCCAGAAGGGAACATGTCAGCGAGGGGGACACGGGAGGATGCAGGGCCCCTGCCACCTGGCTGTCCTCTGGGGAAGAATCGGATGGAAAGACAGCGCTGACAGCCAGGGAAAGGCAAAGCGACAACGCCCGGGAGTCGCCGACACTACAGGGGCAGGTGCGGCACCAGGCCGGGGACACAGCCCGCCGCGGACGAGGACCCAGCCCAAGGACCCAGCAGGTGCACCTTCCCGAGGACCCAGCCCGGGGACCCAGCAGGTGCACCTTCCCGAGGACCCAGCCCGGGGACCCAGCAGGTGCACCTTCCCGAGGACCCAGCCCGGGGACCCAGCCCGGGGACCCAGCAGGTGCACCTTCCCGAGGACCCAGCAGGTGCACCTTCCCGAGGACCCAGCCCGGGGACCCAGCAGGTGCACCTTCCCGCGCGGAGTCTGTTCGCTCCTCCGTGGGCTCCGACGAAGCGCCTGCCTACCTGCCGTCCTTGGCCTCCGGGGCCTGGCCCTCGTCCGTGACCACCTGCGGCCGCAGCGGCCGGCGCTGCCGCAGCCCGTCCGCCTCGCCCATGGTGCAGGACACACACGGCAGCCCAGGACACCGCCGCCTCTGGACAGCAGCAGCGCGGGATCGGGCTCCAGTCCGCGCGGCGCCCGGAGATGACGCGCGAAACCGGGAGCCAATCGAGAGCGCCGGCCCCGCCTCCGCCCGCGGAGGCGCCGCGCGGACTCGGGGCTGGAGACGGCCGCCGCGGGGGGGCGGGGCGGGGAGCTGAGGGACGGAGGGCTGAGGGACGAGGGACCATAGGGCTGAGGGCTGGGCGCGTGGGGCTGAGGGACTGAGTGCTGGCGGGGAGCTGAGGGCTGGGCGAGGGTCAGAGAAACCATAGGACTGCCGGGCTGAGGGGCGAGGGACCACCGGGCTGAGGGACTGAGTGCTGGCGGGCTGAGAGCGACGGGCTGAGAGACCGAGGAACCACCGAGCTGAGAGACTGAGGCGCCGCGGGACTGAGGGCTGGGCGGGGAGCCGAGGGATGAAGGGATTGTCCAGGCTGGGCAAGGGGCTGAGGTCCGAGCTGGGAACCGAGGGACCGAGGGACCAGCGGGCTGAGAGCTGGCGCAGGGGCTGAGAGACTGAGGGGCCGCGAGGCTGAGGGGCTTAGGGCTGGGCGGGGGGCCGAGGGATTGAGGGGCTGAGGGCTGGGCGGGGAGCTGAGGGGCTGAGGGGTCCTGGGCTGAGGGCTGGGCGGGGAGCTGAGGGGCTGAGGGGTCGCTGGGCTGAGGGCTGGGCGGGGAGTCGAGGGATTGAGGGGCTGAGGGGTCGCTGGGCTGAGGGCTGGGCGGGAGCTGAGGGCTCTGGGTGAGGGACTGAGGGCCAGGTGGGTGGCTGTGGTCCATTTGCCCCTCAGCCCAGGACACGGGTGGCTGGCCCCAACACCTGCGCTCAGCGCCTGATGAAGGCACCTCGGGGTGGTGGCGCATCAGTGGTGCTGATTCTGTCAGCAGGTTAGGAAGATGTTTGCCTGTGGTGACGTCTGGATGTTTAAGTCTAAAAAAGTGCCTTTTATGATATTTACGACAGATGTTAGGGAGAGTCTACAAAAGGTTACTTGTAGGCAAAGGCATGGGGTTAAGTCATTGCCAGTGTTATGAGGAGCCGGGTTCTGGGAGACCTTGGGAAACAAACCACAGACTGGCCCCTCATCCTCCCAACCTTAACAAAACTAAGTGAAGGGACCGGCCTTCTGGCTCATGGCCACCTGCAAGGCCAGCACCCATAGGGACCTCCACTCAGTTCCCAACACGAGGCTACCATTTGGAGAGTAAACCAGCAGGCAGAAGACCTTTCAAATAAATCTCAGTAGTAATGGGAGGTTCATCAGACCATCAAAAGTACTCTTTTTTTTTTTTTTTAAGTAGGAACATTTATTGGAAAGACAGTTACAGAGAGATCTTCTATCCACTGATTCTCTCCCCACGTAGCCAGGGTTGGGCCAGACCAAAGCCAGGATCTGGGTCTCCCACATGGCAGGGCCCAAGCACCGGGCTATTCTCTGCTCTCCCAGATACGTCAGCAGGGAGCTGGATGGGAAGCCACCAGGACTCTCGCCAGTATTCAGCATGAGATGCTGGCATCACAGCTGGCCACGGTGGCTTAACCTGTTGCCTGGTGTTAATGTCGACCCTTCTATTGGATTTTTTTTTTAAACTGTAATAATTTGCTTAAAGGGGGATGGCTTGTGTTTGTGAGAGCATTTGATTGAAAGGAGTGAACAAGAGCCAGATACCAGGCAGAAGAAGCTAAGATCTGTTGCCCTTGGCAAAAAGAGCTTTGACAAAAAACATCAAAATGCAACACAAGTAACTTCCCAAGACCCACAGTGTGGCACAGCAAGCTCAGCCACTGCCAGCAAGGGGTTCTGATTCCCTGCTGCTGTGCCTAGGAAGGCATGGAAAGATGGCCCAAGTGCTTGAGCCCCTGCCCTGACTGTCGAAGTCATTTGGTGGATAAGCAAGTGGGTGGAAGAGTGTGTGTGTGTGTCGCCTGCATTTCAAATAAATTTTAAAGACTTATTTTACCTGCATGGCAGAGTTGCAGAGAGATCTCCCCTCCGTTAGTGCACTCCCCAAGTAACTGCAGTGACCAGAGCTGAGCCAATCCAAAGCCAGAAGGCAGGAACTTTTTTCCAATTCCCCGTGTGAGTGCATGGGCCCAAGGACTTAATGCATCCTCCACTGCTCTCCCAATCCATTGGGCGGAAGCTGGATTGGAAATGGAGCAGCTGGGGCTTGAAGCAACATTCTTGAACGTGATGGCACCACAGACAGGATTAGCCTGATGTGCCACCTGGCCACGCCCACAGATAAAATTTCCTTTAATGTCCTTTTTGCCCTTGGAGGCTCTCCCAGTCAGTATGTGTGTCACCTAGCTCACTGCTAGGTGGCGATGGAATTCCATGAACATCCATTCGCCCAAGGAGCTGGTGAATCCAGGTGAGGGAAGTGGATGGTTTGTACCCAAATCCAGTTCTTGAGTGATGATTCAGCATTGGCAGTGTTTCCCGCCATCCCGTGTCAGCCAGCACACTGTATGTGAGGGCTAACTTCCTCGACACGCTTGTGCTCTTGCCCCATCCTGCAAACACTACTCCGTGTCACACACTCCAGTGCTAGCTGTTTCTATTTCCATGCCTTCTTCCCCCTTTGCATTACTCCTTATTGGGGCGCACTGTCTTCACACCCCATAGCCCCCCATCATTTTGATACACTGTCTTCACACTCTATTAGCCCCATGTCTTTTTTTATCACTTGTGATCTGCTTTGGCTTTCGTTGCTGAAAATCTTTCCCGAAATCTTGCAAACACAACACCTCCCACTTTGTTTCCAAGGCTCTCTGACTATGCCTGTGCCTGCTGCGCTGGACTGTTTGTACTCCATGTGCAGTACTAAAACCCCACTGAGTGGTAACATCCAGACCCACATCATCATCTTCATCACTTGGCCTTATTGGATTACAGCAAAAGAATGCCCCCGCGGACTTGTAAGGCTCCCAGAAAAAGAGGAGTTGTGCAAGGGTGCTGGAGTTTCTCATGTGTGCCCTTGGCAAGCAGCAGCCAGAGTTGATAATCCAAGGCCGTCACAGCAGAGCCAGCTGTCTTGTCTCTGAAGCACTTAGTCCGCGTGGAGGCAGGAGGGATCGGTTCATGGTCAAATCTGGACAAGCACACGTCAGAACCAGCTGGTATGAAAACACTGCAGTGTGTCTGGTTTTGAGTCATGGTCAAGTCAGCTTTGTTTGTGTTCTATTTCAGTTCTCAGTCCCCCTACCCCTCACTCCAGCCCAGTGGCCAAACAGCCAGACTTTCTCACCAGTACTGGGTACTGTGATTGCTTAGGTCATGTGTGTCAGCCTAAGCACTAATGACATTTGACAGTGAGTGGGGGCGGGGCTTGGGCTCATTATGGGATGTTTAGCAGCCATGCTGGCCTCAAGATGGCAGTAACATTCCACCTCCCTGATCATGAAAAATGTTCCCAAATGATTGGTATCCTAGCTGGGCCACTACCGGTCTTTCCCCTGATGACCTTGGGAAAACAGCAGAGGAGAGCTCAAGTGCTCCCAGCACCCACGTCAGAGACCTGGAACTGACTCCTGGCTTTCACCTAGCCAGCACAGCCATCAGGGCTGTGAATCATCAAATGAAACGTGGATCTCTCTCTCTAACTCTTACTTTCAAATAATTTTTTTTTAAAAAATTAAAAAGGTCCAAAGACATTACCAGATGTGCCCTGGAGGACAAAACAGCCCTTGGCTGAGAAGCAGTAAGGGCCTGGGACGGTGAGAGGGAGGGAGCAGGGACTGAGAACAACTTCCACTGAAACTTTCCATCTGGAGGGAATTTATCCAAACAAAATCTGGGCTTTGCAACATGGAGGAAGAGGTGCATGATGCCAGACAGACAGCCAAGATGCGCCTCACAGCTAAGACAGAAGCGAGCACAATTCCCAGTCCAGTGTTTGTTCTGTTTTGTTTTCTCTCCCTGCAGCCCCATGTTTTTTGGGTTCCTCCCATATATGCCTTGAAAGGCTGTCAGGTGCCAAGTGCTGTGACAAACATAGCAGGTATGTGGTGTGCCAACATGGGTGGGTATTGTCATCAAGGAGGAGAAACAAGCAGAACTGTTGTATGGCAGAGTCAGCAGCTACACTCTTGGGGCCTTGAGGAGGGGCAGGCACCATCAGATGGGCGTGGTCAGTGACACCCAGTGGGGGTCATGGGCGTGATCAGTGACACTTCTGAGAGGAAGTGTCCTGTGCATCAGGCCTTGGAGAAATGAGACATAATGGACAGGGGATGATAAGAAACTGGCAAAGAGTGGCACCCAGAGTTGGGTGAGCAGCAGTGACAGATGGGCTGAGCCCTGCTCCCTGCCCGTGTGTCCAGGAGAGCTAGACCAAGGCCAGCCTGCTCTGTTCAAGGGCTTCAGTGCAGAAAGCTCCAGATTCAGTTTAGGTGGGGCATGGTGAAGTTAGAGAGTGCAGACCACCTTACTCACAGTCGAAAAAGCATCCTAGAGATCATGCGGTTGGCAGAGCCATCACGGATCCCTGGGAACTGAGTGGACCCCAAGCACACATAGCCCCACCAGGCCTCTTGGTGTGATCATGGGACATCACCATGTCCATGGAAGAGTCCAGGTGCTCAGACGTGCCATGGAGCTGCTGACCTGTGGACTACCAGCCCCCAGGAGCAGCTTGCTTTGCCCCAAGAGCCTGCCATCGGACCTGCTGGCATCTCTGCTTAAACATACCCAGAGCAGAAAAGCATGGACTGAGAGCCAGCTCTTGGGGTGGGCATTTAGTGAAGAAACACGCTTCACCTACCAGAGCCCCTGGGTTTGAATCTTGGCCCCAGCTCCTGATCCCAGCTTCCTGCTCACGCAGGACCCTGGGGTGCAGGGCAGGTGATGCCACCCAGAGAGATCTGGACTCAGTCTCTAGCTGCCAGCTTCAGGTTGGCCACGACCCTGCCATTGCAAACATTTGAAGAATGAACCAGCAGAGGGAGCACTCTCCTCCCCAACCCCTTCCCTTCATCCCCTCATGC